AGGGGGGACTGAGGACACTGATGTGAAGGGGGTACTGAGGACTCTGATGTAAAGGAAGGACTGAGGACTCTGATGTAAAGGGAGGACTGAGAACTCTAATGTAAAGGGAGGACTGATAACTCTGATGTAAAGGGGGGACTGAGGACTCTGATGTGAAGGGGGGACTGAGGACTCTGATGTAAAGGGGGGACTGAGGACTCTGATGTGAAGGGGGGACTGAGGACTCTGATGTAAAGGGGGGACTGAGGACTCTGATGTGAAGGGGGGACTGAGGACTCTGATGTAAAGGGGGGACTGAGGACTCTGATGTGAAGGGGGGACTGAGGACTCTGATGTAAAGGGGGGACTGAGGACTCTGATGTGAAGGGGGGACTGAGGACTCTGATGTAAAGGGGGGACTGAGGACTCTGATGTGAAGGGGGGACTGAGGACTCTGATGTAAAGGGGGGACTGAGGACTCTGATGTGAAGGGGGGACTGAGGACTCTGATGTAAAGGGGGGACTGAGGACTCTGATGTGAAGGGGGGACTGAGGACTCTGATGTAAAGGGGGGACTGAGGACTCTGATGTGAAGGGGGGACTGAGGACTCTGATGTAAAGGGGGGACTGAGGACTCTGATGTGAAGGGGGGACTGAGGACTCTGATGTAAAGGGGGGACTGAGGACTCTGATGTGAAGGGGGGACTGAGGACTCTGATGTAAAGGGGGGACTGAGGACTCTGATGTGAAGGGGGGACTGAGGACTCTGATGTAAAGGGGGGACTGAGGACTCTGATGTGAAGGGGGGACTGAGGACTCTGATGTAAAGGGGGGACTGAGGACTCTGATGTGAAGGGGGGACTGAGGACTCTGATGTAAAGGGGGGACTGAGGACTCTGATGTGAAGGGGGGACTGAGGACTCTGATGTAAAGGGGGGACTGAGGACTCTGATGTGAAGGGGGGACTGAGGACTCTGATGTAAAGGGGGGACTGAGGACTCTGATGTGAAGGGGGGACTGAGGACTCTGATGTAAAGGGGGGACTGAGGACTCTGATGTGAAGGGGGGACTGAGGACTCTGATGTAAAGGGGGGACTGAGGACTCTGATGTGAAGGGGGGACTGAGGACTCTGATGTAAAGGGGGGACTGAGGACTCTGATGTGAAGGGGGGACTGAGGACTCTGATGTAAAGGGGGGACTGAGGACTCTGATGTGAAGGGGGGACTGAGGACTCTGATGTAAAGGGGGGACTGAGGACTCTGATGTGAAGGGGGGACTGAGGACTCTGATGTAAAGGGGGGACTGAGGACTCTGATGTGAAGGGGGGACTGAGGACTCTGATGTAAAGGGGGGACTGAGGACTCTGATGTGAAGGGGGGACTGAGGACTCTGATGTAAAGGGGGGACTGAGGACTCTGATGTGAAGGGGGGACTGAGGACTCTGATGTAAAGGGGGGACTGAGGACTCTGATGTGAAGGGGGGACTGAGGACTCTGATGTAAAGGGGGGACTGAGGACTCTGATGTGAAGGGGGGACTGAGGACTCTGATGTAAAGGGGGGACTGAGGACTCTGATGTGAAGGGGGGACTGAGGACTCTGATGTAAAGGGGGGACTGAGGACTCTGATGTGAAGGGGGGACTGAGGACTCTGATGTAAAGGGGGGACTGAGGACTCTGATGTGAAGGGGGGACTGAGGACTCTGATGTAAAGGGGGGACTGAGGACTCTGATGTGAAGGGGGGACTGAGGACTCTGATGTAAAGGGGGGACTGAGGACTCTGATGTGAAGGGGGGACTGAGGACTCTGATGTAAAGGGGGGACTGAGGACTCTGATGTGAAGGGGGGACTGAGGACTCTGATGTAAAGGGGGGACTGAGGACTCTGATGTGAAGGGGGGACTGAGGACTCTGATGTAAAGGGGGGACTGAGGACTCTGATGTGAAGGGGGGACTGAGGACTCTGATGTAAAGGGGGGACTGAGGACTCTGATGTGAAGGGGGGACTGAGGACTCTGATGTAAAGGGGGGACTGAGGACTCTGATGTGAAGGGGGGACTGAGGACTCTGATGTAAAGGGGGGACTGAGGACTCTGATGTGAAGGGGGGACTGAGGACTCTGATGTAAAGGGGGGACTGAGGACTCTGATGTGAAGGGGGGACTGAGGACTCTGATGTAAAGGGGGGACTGAGGACTCTGATGTGAAGGGGGGACTGAGGACTCTGATGTAAAGGGGGGACTGAGGACACTGATGTAAAGGGGGACTGAGGACTCTGATGTAAAGGGAGGACTGAGGACTCTGATGTGAAGAGGGGCACTCAAGGCTCTGATGTAAAGGAAGGACTGAGGACTCTGATGTAAAGGGAGGACTGAGGACTCTGATGTAAAGGGAGGACTGAGGACTCTGATGTAAAGGGAGGACTGAGGACTCTGATGTGAAGAGGGGCACTCAGGGCTCTGATGTGAAGGGGATCACTGAGGGCTCTGATGTGAAGGGGATCACTGAGGGCTCTGATGTGAAGGGGAGCACTGAGGTCTCTGATGTGAAGGGGGATCCTGATGTAAAGGGGGAACTCTGATGTGAAAAAGGGGCACTCAAATATTAAAGGGGTGTTGTGATGTAAAGGGGGTGAAGGGGAAACTCCTGATGTAAAGGGGAACTCTGATGTAAAAGGGGGATTCTAATGTGAAAGGGGACCTGTGATGTGAAGGGGACACTTTGATATGAAGGGGGAACCCCACTTTTTTGCATTGGGTTCCCACTTAAAATCCATCACATTTTAGACTGTGGTGCCCTGAGATTTTTTAAACTTTTAAAGGATGCGAAAAGTTGAGAAGTGCTGGTCTAGGTGATGTCCTGCTTTAACATACCGTATATTGTTTTACATAAGAACACCGTTATCTGAGCACAGCCACGAGTCTTTTTGGATTTCACAACTGACACTCTGATGACTCGGGGAGATAAAATGCTAAATTGGACTTTCTTTTCTGTATTAGGTAATACATTGTAATACACAACCTATTGTACATAGATTATTAGTCACAGTCACTCATGGATCTCTTATACAAGCATACATCTGAGAGTATGAGTGATATATAGATAGATGGCCAGTTAAGCTCTAAAATAAATAAATCCCGTATATTTTATGGCTGCATCATGACACTTTAATTAAAGAGAAGGGCTTTATATAATTCTTAAACCTTCTTAAAGGAGAACTATGGGGTTAAGGCATTTCCCCATAGTTCTCCTTTAACATCCACACATTTAGTTTTTCTTCAATGAGTCACCAATGAAATCTTCTGCACAATACATTACTATCAGAACTTTTTTTCTTTTCTAGTCTTTGGGTTAGAGTTTATTATTGTTGTCTCTGTCCATATTGGGTTATTTCCTTTGTCTTCCTGTCCTGGTGACCACTCTCATACTCCGACATACGAGTGGTCACCGAGACAGCAAGAGTGTAAAAACGTGAGTTACATCAATATTACAATAAATCAAAATGTGCTCTTGCTTCTGCCATTCACTAGTTTTCCATATTTTCTGGATGTGTGCCCAATAAAGGGTCAGTCCACCCAAACGTGATATGCACGGCATGGGAGGAGCTTGAAGGGCTGAGTCAGCTCTTGACATCTTATACGTCTTGAATGCTCCACCACTTAGACCTCATTGCCATAATTCACAACTCTGCTCCTGTCCAGCTGGGAGTTTTGGGTGTTCCTTACCAACCTTTGTGTGTTTTGGCTCCTCCTGTCATATTGTCCATAGTATAAAGTAAATATAATATTCAGCAGAGAGTGGAAATTTCCTTAATAGTGAGCACAGCAGATGTGCAGACCCAGGAACTCAGAACATGGATGGTGAAAGCCCCTATAATGGGCACGAAATCTGTGCAGACCCAGGAACTCAGTTCATGGATGGTAGGAACCCCTCATAATGGGTACAGCAGATGTACAGACCCAGGATCTCAGAGCAGGGATGGTGAAAGCTCCTCATATTGGGCATGAAATCTGTGCAGACCAGATCATTTAGTTAATGGATGGTAGGAACCCTTCATAATGTGCACAGCAGATATACAGACCCAGGAACATAGTGCGGGAAGGTTGGGAACCCCTCATAATGGGCACAGCAAATATGCAGACCCGAGAAATCATTGTAGAGATCACATTGAAAATAATGGCTTTAGATACACTTTAATTTTCAGTCTTGCCTGGTGCGTCCCTTTGCCACTTTTTAAAAAATTAAGATGTTGTCTGTGGAGCCGGATTGGCGTTATTTACTAACTTGACATTTTGAACCCTTTCAGGTATTCTCCATCGTGGTCTTCGCCTCCATAATAAATGAAGGTTACATCAACATTAACAGTCCTGAACTGCACTGTGTGTACAACAGAAATGAAGGAGCATGTAACTACGCGATATCCATCGGACTCATCGCCTTCTTCGCTTGTGTCTTCTTCATCATCCTGGACATTAACTTCCCACAGATCAGCAGCGTGAAGGACAGGAAAAAGGCTGTCATTCTGGACATGGGCTTCTCAGGTGAGTGTCAGTCCCCCTCTCCCCCTGCCATGTCCATCCAATCATACCCATGTTTCTACCAAACCATTTCCACCAGGCCTTTCCTCTTCGGTGGTCTGCATTGCAGGACTGAAATGGGATCCGTAGGGTGTTGTATGCACCTCATGTTCCTGGGCTGCTGTTCCTATGTTGTGAATGTGCACTCAAATCCCATCTTTTACTGCACACATTCTCAGTTCAAAGATGTCTTATCTTCAATCGTCAGCCTTTAAGTCTTAGGGCCCATTCACATTATGCACTGCCTTATGTTCAATCATCAGCCTTCAAGTCTTAGGGCCCATTCACATTATGCAATGCCTTATGTTCAATCGTCAGCCTTTAAGTCTTAGGGCCCATTCACATTATGCACTGCCTTATGTTCAATCATCAGCCTTCAAGTCTTAGGGCCCATTCACATTATGCAATGCCTTATGTTCAATCATCAGCCTTCAAGTCTTAGGGCCCATTCACATTATGCAATGCCTTATGTTCAATCGTCAGCCTTCAAGTCTTAGGGCCCAGTCGCATTATGCAATGCCTTATGTTCAATCGTCAGCCTACAAGTCTTAGGGCCCATTCACATTATGCAATGCCTTATGTTCCATTGTCAGCCTACAAGTCTTAGGGCCCATTCACATTATGCAATGCCTTATGTTCAATCGTCAGCCTTCAAGTCTTAGGGCCCATTCACGTTATGCTATACCTTAATGCAACACATGTTAGTGCGTTAGGGCACGCCGTGTTAAGGCAGTCCATGTCAATGCTCAAAAGATAGCGTACTGGAAGGTACTGACAACATTTTTGAACAGTTATCTTTTAATCTGGGCTTCTGCTTTGTTTATATCACAAATACATATTTTATACAAGGTACTCCCATGACAAAGGATTCCCAGAGTACGGGTAAAAGCTGAACTGAACATACAGTTTAAAACAAGTCCAGGTGCATCAAACCAAGAGGTGTTTAAAACACTTTGTTTTCTATAGAAAGCAGCCATAGTCCAGAGTAGAAAAGCCTGTCACCAGCCATGTGGAAGCAGAGGTTTCTCTGCAGAGGTCTTCAATCAGCAGGAAACATGCCCTTTGTTGAAAGCAGGTCTAGGTATGACTCACCGGGGGTAACTGGACCTCTGCAGAGAGACCACTGCTTCCACACAGAGAGCAGGGGTTTATAGAGCAGAGCAAGTGGCTACATCAGCTCTGCTCTATGAGAGGCACCACTAGAATGAACTACAATTCCCAACATGAAATGAGAACTGTAGTTGAGAATGGGCATGGATGAGGCATGTGGCCAATCTAAACCTTGCTGGGTGGGAATAGACCAGGAGTCTCCTGGCCTGTTCATCAAATGACGAAGTTGGGGGGGGTTCTCCCTGGTCCTCTCAGCGAGCGGCAACCTAGTTAGGTTTATACTCTCTTACAAAGAAGCTAGACTGGTCTTATGAAATGGATGTAGAGGAGAATGGCTCCTTTCCATGCTGAAATAAAGTGAGGGTTAATCCGTGGCTGGGTGACTACATAACATGAAGATGCTGAGTAAAGGTAATTTATGTAATTAGGTAATTTATTAAGTAAACTGGCTTTAAGGTCCTTTGTATTGGCCTTTTCAGTAAGTGATGGCTCTGAATTATGTTTTGCCTTGCTTAACACAATAAGAACATATTTTGGCCATGGCTGTACTGTAGGACTGCAGTCATCTCGGCAGATTATGGCCTGTAGTGGCTCTGACTCAGACTTAGACTGTTCACTTAGGCAGTGTATGCTGTAATTATAGATTGTTTGCCTATTAGCTGAACGTAAGCCCAGAGTCTCTACTCCGTAGCTGGCATTAAGGAGCGCATGTTCTCTCTATTGCAGTGTGTGGAAAACAGAGTTATTACTAATTATACACTGAACAGAATGTGAACGTTGCACTCTCAGCTCATTGTAGAACATCTAATGGGTTCCTTCACTACTGTCTAATGGTTTTAGCCCTGTGCTAGAGTTCTTGAGTACAATTACTGAGGAATGGACAGAAAGCGGTAATAACAAGAGAGTTCCCTTATAGACAGGAAAGTGGACCTATTAATAAAGTGGACCTGAGCTGTAAGGTGAAGATTTGCTATCTGATAGGAAACATCTAGAAATGTACATTGTGTCTATGCAGTACCCTGAAAGATTTAATTTTTGTCTCCTTAAAAATAGCAGTTCACTTCCTTTGCCTAGGCACGTGTAGCATCCCCTTACCCCTGGGAGGATGAGGAAGACCCCCAGTTGACGCAGCGAGATAGCATTTCAACTCTCAAGGCGTAATCCTTGGGTTGGTGTGAGGTTAAAGGAAATTGGGCATCAGTCACTTTAAAAGGTTTAACAAGTTTACTTAGCTCAGTAAACTCCAAAAGAAAGGGTTAGGGCACAGGATACCCCAAAACAGGCAAAAATACAGCTCCAGACTTCTATTCTAGTGAAAAAGCAGAACCCATGCCCAATGCAATCACTCAAAAGGTACCTTAGTGGTTGAGCGGCGAGAACATCTTGCATTGTCCACCAGCAGAAGCCTATACTCAGCTCTCCAGAACATGCTTCAGCACAGAAGCTTCTCATAACCCATACTGGCAGCCATCTTTCTGCTCTACTCTCTCTGGATTTACCCTACAACAGGACAACAAAAAAGACACATGTCAACTTCAGTTTCCTTAGGCCCAGTCTCAGACCCTCCTTCCAGCAACACCCTCCCAAGGCAGCAGGCCTGGGAGGCAAAGACAAGACTCTTCCTATTCTAGCATCTTGTCCAGGCAGAAGCTTGGTCGTGAAGCCTCTTCAGGAAGGTCACCCCAAATATGTATTCCCTATCCCTTCCCCAGCATGCATCACTGGCAATAAATCTCCTAGTGATTGGCCAGAGGGAAATAAATCAAATATATTTATAACTCAGAACATTTCTACTTTTTCTCTATCTGCTGGAGAACACACCCAGAAGCAAACAATTTCCAGAACTTAAGGGAATGCCAAGAAACAACAAATAACAAATAGAGCTCAGACTGACTACATGAACTAAATTTAATATGGGGAAATTCCAGCTTAGGGCATGGTCCCTTCACATGCCTGTTATGTATTCACATAGCCATTTATCTGGGCAAATGAGGATGCATCAAGTTTGGGATCATCTAAGGAACTTCTGCCTCTGACTGCTAGTCTCTGGAGATTTGGAATGAGGTTTGGTGATGTTATGCTCAACGTTTTACTTACGGGAGAGGAAGATATACCTGGGGACCTGCGAAGCAAGGATCTCACTGCGTCTGCCTAAATTCTTCATACTGCTTTGTGCACAGTAGGTGCACTTAGAGAAGATGAATGTCGGGATTAAAATGAAAACCAATCAGCAAGAAGCTCTCTGTAGCAAGTAAAGTGCATGGATAGCCCAAAAGACTATACATATGTTTATTAATAATTTTGAAGATAAATATCTTTTGTTGGTGGTTTCATTGTGGTCACAAACCACCCAGTCTCTGCATTCTATCCTCCTGCAGGGCCAGTGAGTGGACACTTGTGGCACACACAAGTGGAGGAGCCCTCCTCCTTTCTGGAACCACTGCTTTTGCTATTGGATACAGTAGACCATCCATTCTCCACAATGAGGGGCCGACATGACTACGTCATCCGTCTTTCCTATGGGGAGATGATGCAGGGTAGGGTGACAAGGCTGCTGCAAATTGAAATATGCTTTTGTAAGGTTCTCGGACCTCCAAACATAGCGTTGCAGAAGGAGGCATGCTTGCAGGATCAACAAATAAGAAGTTGATGGTGGAAAGGGAAAAGGGTATTGGGGATTACTGTATGTGAAAGGATACATACATCTTAAATACACAATTCTCTTGTTAGAATGAAATGTATCATTATCAGAAGTCAGAGACATATAACCACCCCCCTGCTTCAAAGCTTTCCGGTTTTATCACACACTTCTCTCTATTAAAGGTTACAAATAAATGTGCGGTTTTATTGTATGGTCGCATTACCTTATTTTTACACTGCTTCACAATGAAGTGAAACTCGCAGTTGCAGGTTATCTTTCAAGTAGAACTGTAAATACCGGTGTCTACAGCATTCGTCCAAACTACCCGTGGACTGTATAAGTCATTTAGCCAGTGGCACAAGATGTAGTGAGATGTAGCTGCAAAATATATAATGGTCTTTTTTAATGACTCATTTTTTCTTTGCTTTAGAGTGTGATAGTTCCAAGGTGGTTAGATTTGTACCTGAGTTTTGGTTGATATACAAAAGTGTTGGGCAGTCTGTTAATTTTAGGGCCTCTTATGCTGCTTTTGGCAACTCCAAAGAAAAACACAATACAATTCTGATTTTTGGACAGTATTTATGAAAAACTTGCTCACTCAACAAGATCTATGGCTATCCAATTCCTGGTCTGATTTTGTTATTGTGAAAATAGAGCATTACACAAGGCACGTCAAAGGTTAAGGGCAGTGAGCTGATATGGACATTTTGTCAATTCTGCAACAGTACACCAAGAGCTGACAACTAAAAGAGAAGGCACACGTGCACCCTACTCTGCCATCAGTTTGAAGCAGGAGTGGGTGATCTATTAGTGGACCAACAAAAATTTACCCATTGTGCAGAGGCAGAAAAAATAAGGACCGGGCTGGACTGCACTGGTAGGCAGGGTTTCAGTTTTTTGGGGAAATAGATTGGAGTCAATGGGAATTGTGACATTAAAGTGTATATATATTCAATTTTTGGGGGGATAGTGGATAGTGTAGATTATAACTCCTGTAAAGCATTTAACTGCTGTTTGTGTCCCCACTGGATACAGTCACCCTTACTTTTGTAACTTGGAATGACCATTGTCACTGAGGCAGAAATTAATTGGAAATCCAAAATGTCATAGTTGTCACCAGAGCAAGAGGCAAAGATACATCTTCTAAAGGGGACATCTGTTCTGGTGCCAAAAAGGGACATTCCCCTCACTTTGTAGAAATGTTGTTTCACTTCCTGTTGCTTCTGTAGCACAGTATGTGAATGTAAGATTTACCAATGTGACACAGTCAGACAAAAATAAAGGGACATAGGTTTCAACCCCTTCTCTATCCAAAACGTAAACAAAAATTTGGCCTATACATATACTTCAAGGTGTTTTTGTTTGTGTTTAAGGGTTCAATGAGCTTTAAATGGATTCCTAAGGTTTACAGGTGCTTATTTCAACTGGACCTGTTTTTGTGCCAAACAGGCTCCTCATTAGCCTCATTGTTATCAAGGTTATGCGTTAAATGGTGACACTATATGGTGAAGAGTTTGGAGAAGGCAGGAGAAGTGAACAATCTAGGACAACATAGCTGAACTGGAAATTGAGCTGAATTGACAAATTTTTCCAAATCAGCAATTTTGTCCTAGATTGTTCCCTTCTTCTGTCTTCTCCCCACTATTCACCCTTTTGTGAATAGCCCTGATAATGTTTCAGCTGGTGAGAAATAGGAGGCTCTACAAAGGTAAGGTATATCTATACAAGTGTTTATACTTGGGGCGCAGCTAAATGAGGGGCCCCCAAAAAAATGCTCCAGCACAGGGAATTATGTTAAGGAACATGATAAGTGGGTGGCTGTTTACCATATTTGGTGGCTTTGCTGTCCTAGGCCATGGCCTATATTGGCTATATAAATTCTGGCCCCGTCCTCACATCTGTTTAACCTGTTAAGGTCAATCCATTATCCATGAAAAGACCACCACAGATATACTAACCACATTGCCATTGTGGGTTTTCAGCTCATACAGCACATTACTGTCTCTTTCTTTGCTTTCTACAGCATTATGGGCCTTCCTCTGGTTTGTGTGCTTCTGTTTCCTGGCCAACCAGTGGCAAAGAACGCCTTACTCACAGGAAGTGGACCAAGCGGCTGACGCGGCAAGAGCTGCCATCGCCTTCTCCTTCTTCTCTATTATCTCTTGGGTAAGATAAGGACTACTCTTTAGGTTTTTGTGACACTTATCAACAGGTGTTACCACTGTGGCATCCAATGTTATGGGTCTGGAACTGGGAAAAAATTATGTTTGACTAAATACAAATAATATCATTTATATATTTCTTTACTATTTAGTAAGGTGCATGTGAGAGAGGTGTCGTAATTATACTTAGTAAATCTTACCATAGGTTGCCATTACCAGACAACAGAAGGTAGAACCGACATGGCTTTCTCAACACATAATTACCACATAAAGTCAATAGATTGTAACTTATGCATTAAAGGGCTGGATACTCTATATCCTTTCTCAACCCTTTTTTCAAGTAGAAAGCCTTGAAACAATGTCCATTTCGAGTACCCTGCTTACAATTGTTATATCTAATGCCAACAAGAATGCAGACCCGAAAAGTGACATAGTGCCCACTTAATATTGGTGGTTAGATTAAAAGCTTCCCTTTGCAATGATGTTCAATGTAAAATTGCCCCTTTATAAAGGTGATCAGTAAAGAAGGGCCCTCTTACATTGGTGGTCAGTGGATAAAGACCCCTAAAATGAGAGTCAGTGGGGAAGGATCCCCCATTACTGGTGATCTGTGGAAAATAACCTTTTACATTGAGAGTCAGTGGAGGAGAATCCCCTTAAACTAATCATCAGTGGAGAAGGATCTGCTTTCACGGGTGGTCTGTGGAAAAGGACCTTTTGCATTGAGAGTCAGTGGGGAAGGATCCCCTTTCACTGGTGGTCAGTGGACAAGGACCTCTCACATTGAGAGTCAGTAGAGAAGGATCCCCTTACAATGGTGGTCAGTGGAAAAGGGCTTTTGCATTGAGAGTCAGTGGGCCCCCTAACAATGGTCATCAGCAAAGAGCCCCTTTTCATTGGTAGTTAGTGGAGAAAAGCCCCCTTGCATTGGTGGTCAGTGGAGGAGGCTTCCTTTACATTGGTGGTGTGTGGGAGAAGACTTCACTTCCTGCACGTTTTTTATAATTCCCAGTTTCTCATGTTTGCAGATTTTTATCTACTGAATATAAAAGGCAGTAGAAGTTTTCAGGCTTCAAACATGACTCTTTTTTTCCTTCAAGTTGGCGCGTGATAGATTTATTGATGTCCTGTTTTATAAGAAAACAGTTTAATGATCAACTTCTCATATCAATTTCATACAAATTGATGAGTAGTTTAGATGAAAGTCCATTAACAGTAAAGTACTCCCAGAACTATCCGTGATATGTTCTTATTGCAATAACAAACTTTATAGTTGCACGTCTAGATCTAGAAATTAGTGAATTGATCCACATGGAGATCAGACCAAAACTGAGCAGATTCACAGATAATGGAATCATCTATAAATTAGCTTAGTTTGCTGAGCGGATCTCTTGGCCGTTAAAGCATATCTAAACCCCAAAGATGTAACATATTGCAGCTTACCAGCCCGTAGATATATGGTGGCTGCATTTGTTTTCTTTTTAAAAGTGTTTTCCCTTTATTTTCACCTGGTGATCCTGCCAGTAACACAATTTCTGTCCTAGTGTGACAATGCTCACTAACTGTACTGTATCTATAGATGAGCACGGTTGTTGCCTAGGCTGTTCTCTTGATTAGGACTACAAATATGTCCCCCTTTCCAACAGCCTAAATGTAAGAATCGCTCCTACCTACTCTCTGGCCTAAATTTATTAGATTGACAGGGGATACATGATGTAATTGCATTGATTTATGTATATTTATTGTATAGCTAAAACTTTTTTAGTTATGGATAGAGTAGGGAAGGATTAGGATCCTCTGTCAAGATTTTATTGCTGTGTGTGTCTACCAGCATGATAGAGTCATATTTTACCTGGTCACTAGAACAAAAGGTGGGAAAACCAAAATTTGTTGGAACGTCTTGCACAGCCTGACAGAGAAACACAAACACAGAGTCTGATATGCATCCTGCACATGGCTTGGCTAAAACAGGAAGGAAGCCACAGCTTTATTCTCTACCTTATTCAATACGAAAGAGCATAGATTGTAAGCCCTCACGGGCAGGGCCCTCCTTACCATCTTGTCTTAAATTGTATTGTGACTGTAATGTCTTCCTTATATTGTAAAGCACTGTGCAAACTATTGGCGCTATATAAATCCTGTATAATAATAATAATATACCATAGATATATAACAGAACGTATAAACACTGCCACCTAGTGACCGAAATTGAATACTGCAGGAGTTATTGCTAAAGATACAATAATGTGTATTCTAACAAAACTTTACAGTTGTCACCTGAAGTAAGGGTAAATCTTTAATGAGGACACTCACATTAAGGGTAATCCTTAATGAGGACACCTGTTTTGTGGGGAATTCCCTTCACTTTGGAGAGATTCCTTCTCAGTTGTTGTTGTGGCTCCTGGAAAGGAAAAGAAGGAAAATCTAACCAAGGGCACACATACAGCACTAAAATAGACCTACAAGAGTTTCAACCCTTCCCGACTGTACCTAAAACTTAAAAAAATATTTGGTTATGCCTCTACTTTGATAAAGAAGTCCTATATGTATACATTGGGTACAGAATGTAGATCATTGACATAATTACAATTAGAACCCATTTTGGTTCACTTCCTTTCTGACTTTTGTGTGTTTATGACCTTTTAAGGGTCCAGCAATTATTGGGTTGTTCACCACTAATGCTCAATATATTTGTTGGAAATAGAATGTACAACAATAGACATGTAATACAGTAATGAAAATTTGGTTAAATAAGAAAGTAAAAATTAAAAAGTTTACATAAAAAGTAATTTTAAAAAGCCACAATATAAACTCAAAATGTGAACACTTGAACATGCTTTATTTCTGTCTGCATCTATTAGATCTCAAGTTACATCTTCCTGAAATATGCCAGTTAAACACTCAGCTCAACTCAGAGTTAAGGTCTGCTTCAGAAATGAGTGAGCCATGAGAGAGACATAATGAGGGGAATTTACTAGGGATGCACCGATACCGATACTAGTATCAGTGTCAGTGCCGATACCGAGTACTCGTTCTCGCCCAAACACCCCGGATAATTATCTTGATACCGGAAATTCGGGTATCAAGAAGCCAGGGGGCGAGTCATTACATGCCTCCCGGCTTCTTGAATGGCTGGGAAGCCTGATCCATGTTCCCTCGTCACCAGGGAGCATGGAGCTGGTCTTCCCGGGCCAATCAGGACTCGGTGACGAGGGAGCACGGAGCCAGCTTTCTCAGAAAACCAGGCGGCAAGTCATTACTTGCCTCCCGGCTTCCTGATTGGTCAGAAAGCTGGCTCCATGCATCCTCGTCACCTGGTTACGAGGGAGCAAGGAGCCGGCTTCCAGGCTAATTAGGAAACCAGGTAGCGAGTCATTACACGCTGCCCGACTTCCTCAATGGGACTTCCGGTATTGGTATTCGGTATCGGCGAGTACTGAAAAAAAAATATCTGTACTCGATACCAAAAAAACGAATTTACCAAAACTGGAGCAGACAGAAATCTGGAGCAGCCATGCAGAGTAACCAATCAGCTTCTATATTCAGCTTGTTCAGTTAAACGTTAAAAAAACAAAAGCTAGCAGCTGATTGGTTGTCATGTACAGCTGCTCCAGATTCTGCCTGCTCTGCTCTTAGTAAATTCGACTCATTGCTATGTCATCTAACAGTGTCTGAGTAAGTAGGCTGTTAAAGCTCTTCGTTGCTCCTCTTCAGCAATCTGTACTTAGCAGCTGTAAAGCTTTGTGTAAAAATTGACTTTAGCTTCAGAAATCTGCCTGGATACAATGACATCATTTCTCCGTTCCAGATTGGCTGGATTTTTCTAATTAGCTGATGCCTCACTCTGCTATTGGCTGACAATAGGCAGTCAGCCAATAGAAAAATATAATAATTCCAGCCAGTAAGAAAAGAGGGGTGATGTCATTGTATCCGGGCAGACTTATTATGCTGGTGTACTACTGCTGATCTTTGAAGATGAGATACCAAAAGAAATAGCAAGGGTCACTTTAAAGCAGAGCTCCAGCCAAGCCCTTTTGCAACCTTATTTTTTTAAACTTTAGATGGGGAAGGGTTTGCGACTTTTATTGTTGTCAGTGACCCTGATCAAGAGTTCTTTCCCCCTACTGCCTAGCCAGCTAGCACTGTGAAACAAGCTTTGTGGTTCCTCTCTCTAGAGTACAGGCTCCATACATTGGTGGGTGGGTGTCATGGAGAATGCATTTTAGAGAGAGAAGGGCCTAGAAAGTTTGATACACAGCAGGTGACAAAAACCAAGCAATTACAACATGATAAAACAAGGTTTCTTTATTATACAAAGGCTAAAACGTGTTTACAAAGATATAATTGATATGTACGCATTTCAAAGAAGAAAAGAGCAAACTGATCTCCAAATGAACTATTCCAGAATTATAATCTGAGGCTAAATGACCATAACACACAAATTTGATGTAACATACTCTTGTACTCATACAGCACATAGATGCCTCTTATATCAGGAATAGGATTTTTCTCAACGCATTTCACGCTCCAAGTGCTTCCTCAGGAGATCGTTTTTTAAACTTGTTAACTTGTTGACCTCATTTTGCATGCCATGTCCTAACCCCCGTGCTAACCCTATAACCTAACCTTTTCCTCCAGAGTGTCATGGCAGTGATGGCCTTCCAGCGATTCCGCTTAGGGACTGACATGTCTCTCTTTGCCACGGATCAGTTTGCAAGCGGACCCAATGGCGCCTACCCAGGCTACCCGACAGGCAGCGGAATAGAGAGCACGGAAACCTATCAGAGCCCTCCTTTCACTGAAAATGCGGACATCAACCCCAAGGGGTACCAGGCGCCTTCTTACTGATGGAGAGGAGGCAGCGCAGATGTTTGTATGCAGATAAAGCAGGTGTGCTGACACAGTACAGAGTATGGAATGACTTGCGCATTCTGCTCTACACTTTATATGTGTTAACCAGTGCTGGATTTTTTTCCTGTAGTTCCATGTACAGTGCACTCTGTACTGTGATATTGATTGCTTGTTTGTGATATGTTCGGAAAAGGGTTTATTTGATACTTTTTTTTAATTTTATCCTTCTTTTAGACAAAGTGTTCCCTCTAAGGTAGACTGACCCTCATTCAGACTTGTGGAGGATAATATGGTGTGGCTGGGAGCAGTGAGAATGGCATACAATAAAAAAGAAAAGGTTGAACGGGCCACCAGATTACTGTATAGGTGCCATACAATTTCCAATAGTTGGCAAAAAACTGTCAGTTTAGACCATCTCTGTTGACCAAGCCATCTATGGGATCCAGTTGACTTGACTTTTTTGCATGGGGGTAGGGGGTTTTAGAAGATAAGAGGAGCTTGCATATTGATGCAAGGGCCACAAAAATACTGTATACTGTAATTGTATTGTTATACCAACACCATCAGTCTGACTTATCAGTTGTCCTTTGACATGAGGCATTCTAATGAAGCAAAATACCTGTGTGAGAAGCCTACTTTGGAAGCTATTTTCCTGGGCTGCATATTAGTTCTTGGTCACTGGCATCACTAGCAGTGAATCCATATAGATTTGCTTCACTGTCTGGGACCCGTTATGTAGCCCAGAAATCCGAGAATGGCCGTTCCCATCTAGCTTCCAGTATTATGTTTCATCAACAGGAGAAACTAGAAAGTATTTGTTTTGTTCCTAGCAACTATTTAGAGCCCAGCTCTCATATTTCATTAATTACCATTAAAACCAGAAGATAGTAACCTGAGCATTAAGTACTGGACAAGTGTGATATTGTAAATGTAGCGTTTGAGCTACAGAATTGCTCCACCAGACTGTATATGTCTCTTGATTTCAGCACAGTTGCCTGATGCCACTCCTCCTCCTAAACAGGTATCTTGGTGAAATCTAAAGACCTTTACCCTATACCTTTGGCCAACATGTAATTAAGACAAAGGACAAAAAGCTGTGCCAAGCAATCAAATACAGTAGAAAGGGCCTGGCAACATCTTAGAAACGCTGGTCAAGGAGGGGCTTGCAAATGTTTCAAGAAACAGTCTTGATAGCAAATCTGCAGCAATGTACTGAAACTGAGGAGCAATGATTGGCATAAATAATGGGAATTCTATAATGAGGGTCCCCATCAACGCTCACTTCTAGGCGACTTTCTTAAAATGGAAAACCCCTTTAAATAAAGTAGGCCCAAGTACATCGATAGGCGACTTTCTTAAAATGAACAACCCCTTTAAATAAAGTAGGCCCAAATAAATTTCAGGTAGGCAATGTCTGAAAATGTCTAATATTAGATTTGTTAAGTACATTCTGACACCTTCTATGAAAGTCCATCCTTAGTGGCTCCCTAAGAGTATCTGGCGGCTTTAAGTTTGCAGATGGTGCTTTCTGAACTTTGTCATGGTTCTATCCATCCTTGAAATGAAGACTATGAACATTATAATGTGCCAAATCAGAACAGAACCTTCTATATGGTTCTGTGCACACGAGATACTTGATCTCGTTGAAAACCCTAAGAAGGACATCCCTGGAAACCTTACTTAATGACAGGAGTGGTGTAGTAAAGGAATGACTACATGAAGATAGGAGATCATTGTACATTTTGTGCCTCGATGGTGTCACCCAATCAAAGTGAATTGATTGGCTACACAGTGCTTCAGCCAACCTAATAGCCCCACCTAGTGCATATTGGAGAATGGTACACTAAAGTGTCAACAAAGATAATGAGAAATAAAATTTCTCACAATTATTTTCCTAGAACCAGTAAAAAAAAAAAAGAGGAAATCTCCCTACTGGGGGACACAGTGATAAAAAACTGTCAGAGGTTATAACTCTTCCCTCCCCTATTAGCAGAAAAAAAAAGGCTAAGGTTGGGTAAGGTGCCCGAGAACTGATGCTCGATCTTGCCAAAATGAGATCAGTTGAAGGTCCTGTTGACTATGGGGGCCAGCAGGATACCATAGACACTTCCAGCTGTCCGATCCTGGGGTAGGCAGTGGTCAGCCATGTTGGATATATTTCTCAGATCACTGTCAGGTCCAAACTGGCCCTGGGGGATGCTAGCTACCATTACCCTTCCCGCATGCATTTGCTAAAACATTCATGCTCCTATGACCCCATGTTTTTGTCCATGCAGGTGGGTCCTGAATACCTCCGGCACTGGTTAACCTTGGGGAAGATGTTAGTGTGCACGCGCATTGTGTTTTGCTTCTGAGACTTGTAAATAATTTTTTAAGCATTAGTATCCGAATTTTAAAAATGATCATTTAATTTTTTTAATCTGCTGCCAGTTAAATCCCGTCCATGCATCTTATAACTCTTGGGAACACTGGTGATGTGATCTCTACCCTGCCCACCTGCTTCAACTGTATAAGAGTGTCACTTTCCCTGTTGGATTTTTCATTTTATTTATGTTATGGAGAATACAGTAAATGAGCAGAGGCAGCAAGGCTGAGGAGCATAGGTGGGGGGCTATATAGTTGAGAGGTTTCGCTGATTGAATTGCCAAGGAATTAAAGAAATCGGTACGTGGCTCTACCCACCAGCCTCTACCAACATGTGACTAAACATGCCGACCTCTACCAACATGTGACTAAACCTGCCGGCCTCTACCAACATGGGACTAAACCTGCTAGTCTCTACCAACATGGCACTAAACCTGCTAGCCTCTACCAACATGGGACTGAACCTGCCAGTCTCTACCAACATGGGACTAAACCTGCCAGCCTTTTTCCCAAAACTGAAATGTTATTTTTCAGTGGACTGACCCTTTAAATGAAAGCTATAAATGGCCCTGCTTCCTATTCCCAGGCAGCTTTATAGATACATGTAGCAAAGCCTTTTCCTAGATAGCAATATATGATTGACGTTGTGTGCTTCTTAGAGGGAACACTGAATGTTTTCACAGTGCAGGAATTGTTCATTAAAATCAGCCTGTATATTATAAGAAAAGTTCTGTTCACATTGAGTATATGTGCCTGTCGGATCATGTGTGTTTGGTGCGGAGTGCCACTTTTTTCTAGATAAATATTTTACTGTAAATCAACAGAACAGTTCAGCTGCTTCGTCCCTTCCCAAAGTAGCATAAGAACAAAGGCACAAATGGGTCACCTTGTTCAACCGCAATTAGCAGACAAGAAGTAAATGCTATAATACCGTTTATATATTGCTCTGAGATATCTTGCTCTTAAAGGGATTTACCACTTTCAAAGTAGACCCGTGCTTAAAACTCCTCCCCCCACCACCACCGGAACTTTCTCAAAAACTTTAATAAAAGCTGCTCAAGAGCGATGCAATTGTACTGACCGTCCTGCCCATGTTACATGGCATTACCACCCACTGTACTACCACCAATCTACCATAATAGCTGGTCATAAACGACTACTGTCACTGAAGGTCACTGGTCAACCTACTACGTACAATTGCATCCCTGACTGTTTCAGAGGGCCGCACATAATATTCAGCAGTGTAGTGTAGTGCTACAGAAGATTGTTAGAAACCACAGACATACTACAGGAGTCACAGACCTTGTACAATGTCTTTGACTGTCTTGGTCAAAGTCTGTAGACATACTAGAGGGGTGGTTGGGGACTGAAGACAAGCTACAGGAGGCAATTAGAGACTGAGGAAAAGGTTACATGAGCACGTTTCAGTCACCGCTTTACCAGTCAATACCCCCTCTACCTGTACTGGTTGTTGGAGAGCAAGAGCCAGTTGGTGTCAAAGGGAGTCACTACAGGAGTCACAGACTTTGCACAATGTCTTTCAAAGTCTGTGGACATACTGCAGATGTGGTTGGGGACTGAAGACCAGCCACAGGAGGCAATTAGAGACTGGGGGGAAGATTCCATGGCACTGCTTTACCAACCAATGCGCCATCTTCCTGTACTTGTAGCTGGAGGCCAAGAGTTGGTATTAAAAGGCTGCAAGTGGCTTTCAGGTCTCAGTTTGGGTATCAGGGCTAAACAATAATTGCTGTGGTCTGCCACTAGTGGTCAAGAAGCTTTCTGACCACTGTTGGTTGGCTACTTTATGCTCAGCTTCCCCTGTACCTAATAGATTTTGCAGACAGTTGAGTAGAATATGTGGATTAGGTTCACATAGAGTGTTGAACAGATTAGACCAGTTATCAGCCATAATATTGCTTAGGAACCTGCAATAAATGTGTCGGCCCTGAGTATCTCAGACTGCTGGAGGGATAACATCATAAGAGTCTATATAAGTTCTGTCCAAGGCCACACATCCCTAACCAGAAAACAGTACTGTAGTACTGGTATATATACTATATACATTGATTGTATGAGAGTATTAGGTGTGCACAATTCATGCAGAATTCTTAATAAAGAGAGAAGAGGCATTTTCTAGACCTGTCATTATGCATGGAGGTCTATGAGCTGTGAACTCATGTAGGTCCTCATTTGACCTGAATTCTTGATTCCAACTTAATCCAACAATTTCAGCTAAATCTTGGATAGAGCGGGGAAAGTTTGGAGCCTCCTTCAGGTTTTTATTTTTGTCTGTGTCCCTATTACGGAGATTTACACTCACTTCCTGTCAAAACAGGAACTGATGGGAAGTCTCTCTACTGACAAAAACAAATCTTTCATAGAATGGGGAAGGGTTAGAACTTGTGAACGTTTTTATTGCTGCCTGTGCCTTCCTTTCTCTGTGACAACTGCTTTCTGCATTTCTTTTTCTGGTGTCACAGGGATAGGAAGTATGAGGTAATCTCTCTAACGGTATCACAGACAGGAAAAAAAGATAGAGGTACAGGAGAGCTACACCAAATGTTGAGAGACTATGAAGAAGTTATTTCATCATATCAGGTCAAAAGGACAGGCCAGCACATTTCAGAGGTTCTAATGTCTCCCTTCATTGGGGCTCAAACGTGCTGATAAGAATCTGGGTGGTGTCAGGCTTGAATAGGTTACAATGATCAACATAAAATCTATTAGTCATTAGGCCTTGAAGAAGGGGGTGTTAGAACCCTGGAAATGTGTTGTCGTTTTATGATGAGATAATCGCTCTATCCCTCACCTCTCTCAACATCTGATCATGTGCACTTGTTTTATTCCTGTGCTGCTGTCCTATATTGCAGCTTACCAGTTCTCAGATGTGGTGGTTGTATTCC